CTGTGTTGACTTTGTTATGATAACTTTAAACACACTATAGTATCGGTAAGGCTCTATAAGATTGAGATTATTGTGACAATATGCATCTGAAACATCGTATCTAAACCCGATTTACAAATATAAGCGATATCAGTTCTGAAAGGGAATGAATTCATACGTACATTCTTAATATAAAATACATAAATAAATTAAAATGAACGAATAAATAAACTTATTGCTAATGAAACAGAATATTACTCTTGGACAACTTCGGCAACCTTTTCCTTTAAATCCGCATGTGACCATTTTTTCCCATTAAGTCAGGGAATTACCAATTTGGATGGAAATAGGATGTTGAAACAGTAATGATGCATATTCTTAAAAAAATAATAAGTACGATAACATGTACAAAAGTATGCAAGACTTATTACAGAGAGCGTATCCCTGAATATGGACATCCAGAAAGACGCTTCATGCATGCTCATCGAAACAGAAAACAATGAAATATAATTCGACATATTGACATTAAACTGCCCAAGATGTCAATTTCACGTAACATTGATATTGATATAAAAACAGATAATGCGATTACAGTATATCAGCGTTATTTCAGATACTTCAATACACAGAGAGAAGTTATGCTTTCGACTTTGACAGACATTAAAAGTGTGAAAAAATATAATTTTGTACAAATGATGTCTAAATTCTGAAACCACATTTTTGTCTACGGGTAGCATTACTTCAGTATTTGACTGCAAATATATTTACAACGTGCTTCCTCTATTTATACAATTGCTTTGTATTAATGTTCCATGTTTGCTAATATCTTCAGCTCTTGCAACAATTCCATAACTAGAACAGAACTTATCTGAGCACATTATAAGTCGTTAAACATAACATCAATTAAGACAACAACGTACTCCTTACATTTCTTCTCTATCAAAACTTATTTTCAAAAATCATAATTACTGTATGAATTAGTATTTTCAGAATTTTATTTTCATTGTGAAGATAGTGTCACCATTGAATAATGTTTTGAGAATTTTGATAGACGTGAGCTGATGGCCATGGAGATTGTACAAATAATACGCAAGTGAATAACATAATATAATACAAGTTTACATAAGATAAATTAGAGTCAATCAATGAATTAAACTGTATCATATAGCTGTTTCAACCTTCTAGGACTCGTCAGTGATCCTAAGGGCCTAAATCTTAAACCTAGACGGCGTCAAAGTAAAGTCGAAATCGATCGAAAGAAATATCAACTTCTAGATAGGAAGATGAAGCTCCATAATGAAGTGAATTTCGTAATTCGCATATGTCTGAAGGTCAGCTTCATTTGTATATTTTGAACCGGCTCACTATTGGAATAAAATTAAAAAGCCGTAAAAGTTTTGGTACCAGTCTTTGAAAAACAAAATAAAGGGACTATATAGGTTTAAGCCCAGACGATCATAAAACATATAAACCTTTTCTCTCGTCAAGGTTGTTTTCCTACGGACTAAAGCAGGCGTCGGCAAAATCGAAATACTTAAATGATATTTAATCTCAATCAATCATATGCAGATATGATAAAATGCCAAGCGGGCTGATTATTCGTCTTGAAAGTAAACAATTAGTTTAACATGGTCAGGCTATCGTTAGCTATCACTAGACATACTAATTTGTCTGTCAGTGATGACAAGCTAACTGGAAACATATCCTTGTATACAAGTATGATAACACTCCAATCAATACATATTGCGATGCCACAGACAATGCATCCATCCTCCCTCCAGCAACTGTATCCACAACTCCCGCCTGGAGAGATATGGCGCGAACCGATTAGAATCGGAAAGATTCTTCCTGCTACCTTAGTTGGATTTCAGTTCGAGTCTTCTATAAGATTATTGAAAAGATAGAAACTATGGAAGGGATTTCCCACAAATATCACTAAACAACTAACCCGTTTAAAGAGTATTTTCAGATAGAGCTAACGTTTTTATCTGATTAACTCTATTATTTGTGCGTGTATTGCTTTATGACATAATGCAATAGCGTTGTTTAAAGAATTATAGGCAAATATTGTCGTCTTCAATTTCCTAATATCAAAAAAGATTTTGATGAATTTTTGCAGATAAGCTTCTTACTTCTAAATGGCTTATCATATCAAACCATGGAGCGCCGTCTGTTTAATGTATGTAGGACACATATTGGTTTAGTGTATTTGGCGATCAATGACACAGATGTCGATGTATTCCTATAAAAGAATCGTCACTTTACTTTGAAATGACTGATTAGAGTAGCGATACATTTATACATCTGAGCGTTCTCACCAAATTACAGTAGCTTTTCTTACTAAAACAGTTGATTCATGATAACATCCTGGTTTCTAAAAATCTTTTAAGCATAATGTTAGACTTTGTTTTTAAAATGTGGTAGTATATGGAATTCTTCGTGCATTTAACTTTGTTATTGAAAATGTACAGTGACTGTTTTTGTAATTTTAAGATTTATTTGGTTTGTAAGTATCGTTTAGTTTCTGAGCTTGATTGAAATACATGTATCACATTAGTTTTTTTTCTCAGTCGACTCCTAGACTTAAAGATAGACCCTTTGGCTTACTGAGGAGTTCTAGAAGGACGAAACAGCTGTATGATACAGTTTTAGTAATTATTTGTCCCGACTGCATTTTATCTTAAATTTGTGTTAAATGGTGCTGTTCACTTGCGTGAGTTTTGTATAACCTTCCTTTAAATACCGACACCATATTGTGGTTAATGAGCTAAATTCTAAATAAACAAACTGTATTATATATTAGCTAGTATTTCAAACAACAAACTAATGAAAATATTGGTCTGCTCGATAGTATAGCCTTAAATAAAGCCAGTATGGTTAACTACATGGCCAATTAATTTACAAAACACAACGTCTGTATATGAAGCCTTTGAAAAAGCATTCATAATGTTTCAGTTTCATTAAATCGCTTGTCTGATGCATCATGTATCTGAGATAGGACAGGGCAATGTCGAGTGTGTCAAACCGTTACTAGATTTGCTATCTGCGCAAAACATCTTAACGATACGGATCAGAATCTCATGGACATCTCGTTGAATCTCGTTCAGATTTTTTAATTGCGGGAACTGCCGTCTGCGTGTGATCGTTAGCTGTGACAAATGTTGTAGTTATGACTGCCCAGGCCAGGCTTACCCCTGTGTGTCCTGCTCGCCGCATATCTCAGATAGCGGGGAAACCCGACACCACCTCTCGTTATATCTGCACCTAGGAATATATTAATGTGAATGGAAGGTCTTTCTAAGGCTATCTACTTAAGAATCAGCCAATGTGTGAAATATTCTTTGCATATTGACTTTGAAATACCGTGGGAGTCAATATATACTATGCATTGGTGAGGTCTCGTCATGTGTAAGAAATACCGATGCGCCCAGCTGTATCTTTCATGGAATATTTCACATTTATTTCTTAAAAAATATTGTAAACAATACAAACTGGTGTGTAACAGGGTATTGCATTAAAATATGTTTATTTGAGTTTTTAATTATTCAAAATGACATATGTAGCCAAAAGCCGTGCCTATTGTAGTCCGCTTTATTGTTGATAGAGAAACTTTCATATTACATTTTGTTAAAGAGACCACTTAAAATAATTCATCGCAGCATAAAAAAATAAACCAGACTATATATAGAATTAAACATCATTGATATCCTGTATGGAAGCCCCACTGTAGGCAGATTTACTTTACACATCTAGGAATCCTTTTCCATATCCTTTAAGAAAAAAAAATGTAAAAAATGGGTATATGTTTGTTGAATAACAACGACAAAGTACATATGATTAAATAAAATGAAAAGTGTGTGACTTTCATCATATATTCTCATGCACGTGTATTTATTCGTTACCAGAAGTGCTTTACGGAACTGAAACAATCACTGTATCAAAACATATGATGTTTCATGTCCTACTTTCCTGTTTGTAGAACAATTTTATTCTCATCTGTCATGTTGTCATTGAGATAACACCTGACTTTTATATTCTAAATACTTTTTGTTCAGCATTCTCTTATTGGTACCACATTTTAAATATCTGTTAATTTCTAACATAACATCCGGTAAGTGTAAAATGTCATTACTAAAAAATAATCAATATACTACTGATATTTCACCCGACTAATTCCTACACGTCTCAAATGTCACAAAAGGCTGGTCAGTTTATCATTCTTAATTATATTCACTGAACACGTGATTAATATCAAGGTCATCAATAATTGAATATCAAGGTAACACGTTAAAACAGGCCGTCTGACACACAATGGATGACAAATTTGTATCAGGTTAACTGAGGATTAGCTATATAAATGGGTTGATATAGTTCCATAGATATAAATGGCCAGGGCCCAATGTCAACAATTACCATAATAGCTGCTGATACATCGAGCTCATCCCGTTGAAATATTGCTAATCTTTTATCATAATGACAGTCCGAATAAAACTTCATCGGGTTTCATAATGTACAAAATGGATATAAGAGATCTATCTGGATTTCGTCGTTTTCACTAAACAATATCTTTGATAGGCTGAATACATTACCACTGAATTTAGATAAGATTGCATGCAATAAATTGGATTCCACCATCCAATCACTCATAATTTCATATGATGATCCGACATGTGTTGAGGAGTTGCTATAGCAAACAGCACGTGTCTAGGAGCGTCCATTACTCTGAATTTCTAATGTTATAGACACAGTCACGCATACTACATAAACCCATGAAATATTAATGGATAGATCTCCATTACTAGTGACTAAACCGCGGATAAAAGAGATTTGGGAATCATAACTGAAATATCTCAAAGCATAATATCCTCCTAATTCGTATGCGTTCCCTCGAGACAGATGCTATCAATGACAGATATGAATTTTAATATGCTGTTAGTATGCTTTCATTATTTATTACTTCAAAAATTCCTTGAAAGTTTGAAATAAAGCATGTTTATGGGTTTTGTTATCTTATTTTGAAGGTTTGGTTCAAGAATCGACGGGCGAAATGGCGGAAAGTTAAACGTGAAGATGAGGCTACAAAGCAAGGTCACTCTGGTTCGAAACCAAAATCAACGATTACATCAGAGACACAAAAGAACAATGTATCAGGAAACGACAGTGAAGATGATAACGACGATGATTTGGGAGAAGATATGACAATTTGTGTCGATGACGATTTCAGCACTTCAAGTCCTCTTCAAAGAGAAGAGAATGAAAGTATATCTAGTGATAATTCTCATTGTGAACGTAATGACAGCCATGATGGACATATGACCGACAGAAAAGACAATGGTGCCAAAACAGAAAATGAAAATGCAAGTAACACAACCCCTTCCAATGTGCAAGACGATAATATTTTATTAGAATCTCACAACCGTGCAAAAGAGGACAATCTTGATTCATCTAGGTGATATGGAGACGGCACAGAGCCGAAAAACATTAAAAAACCATAATTACCATTTAAATATTTGATCATAATGTTTTGTGTATGTACCGTAAAAGTTCATACATCACTACCATTGCAATCCATTGAAATCGTGTGAACGTTGTATAACATGGGAATGCGTTGACAATTGGACATTAGTGAAATTAAGTCAGCGCATTACCAGGGTTACGTTTTGGATTATGACTCGTCTCTGGTTTAATGCTGATGTGGCTAAGTACAACAGGATGATTAAGGACAGGTGCATCAATTCTTAATTGTGTCCTATTTAGTATTTTAATGCAAGTGTCAGAAACTTCACATATTGATGTAATTATGCATCATAGTTTCATCCTAACTATTTATTGTTGCCATATAATGTTATTACTATATACAGCTGCATATGTAGAAAGGGATGCAGATTGAACAGTTGGTCAGTAAGGTTCCGATTTAAGTGAACGATAGTCATGTGTTGTTGACTCAGATGTGTGTATTGTTGTCTTGACACAAAGATGTGTCGTTTTAGATATCTTGGTGTTTTGTCTTATTGTCATAAATACAATAAAACAGTGAATAAAATCTGCAAGATTTAATTTTTTTTTCATTCATATTATGCTTTTATCTACATTACATTAAACAAAAGGAGATGAAATAATTATAAGCAGAGATTACTTCTATAGTCAAATTTGGCTTATATTATCCAAAATGATAATCTATTGTATATCAATATTGTCATAATATTGCTTCCTTGTGGATTAAGATGAGCTGGAGATATTGAGAAACTGTAGACAAAATATTTATATTGAAGTATTCACTATCAATACACATTAATATCACATAGCTTTGCATAAATACAAACAAAAAGATAAAAACGTTCCCACCCCCATTGTAATAGTTTTAGAAGTAACTAATATTCATTAAATAAGAGCACTGCAATTATTGGAAAAGTAACGGTTTAAGTACAAATACGGTATTGTTTTCAGTTTGTATTTATATAAAACATGATTGCCTATAAATAGCATTATTTTTATAGCTGTTAATGAAAAAATAAATATTGTGGTATTTACAAAACTCGTAAATATTAAGCGCTTTACAAGTGGTTTGTATTGTAAGTCGAATGTGATCGAAAATATGAAAATGTTTCTTTTTCATTTCGGCGTCTATGATTATCAAATCAATTGGGTAGTTATTGCACGTGCAGTTCATGTGAAGAATGTCATATCATGTCGTTTTTTGGTATGCACACTTTCTCAGCTAATTCTGATCTATTCTCCCAATATTTTACTTTCATTTCCTTTTAACAGCATCTTTTTTTTCTATTAAATAGTTCATTAACAATTCAAAATTATGATACTTATTCCGTACTTATACATGCCTTGTTGAAGACTTATTCATTACGTTAGCTGATTTCCTTTAGACGACTGCTTGATACAGAGATTTTTCAGATTCGATGGTATTTTGTATAATGATATTGATTACCACTACATGCGGGTTATTCATAGAGTTAGATCTGAATAATAATAATTAAAAAAAAACATCCGTTATGAAGATATCGAAGATGTAGAATGAACTTTTTGCTAGTTATCCTTATCAAATATGTTTTGAAATGTGTTACTGAAGGCAGCTGTTCTTCAGAAAAAAACAATCATAATTTCCAAAATTTGTAAGCCTATTTCTTCATTTTTTCATTTCTTTATTTTTTTCATGTGTAAATTTTGTGGATGAACATAAGGAACATACTTTTAATAAAACGTGGTGAATAAGAGTCTAGCAAAAGATGGACGCGATGCTGATATACTGAATAGGATTCATGTGTTTTACAACGACTCAGGAACACCTATTATTCATGAGAAAAGTCTTTAGAATAAAGGATGACTAAGGCAATATATATTTTTTTCTGGATAAAATATATTATGTTATTAAACACACATGTCTTATGAATTTTAAAATATACAATGATTTATTAAACTGCATGGTAACATAAATTTATTAAGAAAATTCTTTATGAAAATATATTGAGGCCTTATGGTAGGACGTTTCCTCATAGTCAAAATATTCTTAAAAACGACTAAAACTTAAAATCTCACCAACAGATTTTTGATTACTTTTGATTTATATAATTATATCAAAGTATTGGATGCAGTTTTGTCATTTTCAAATTGAACTTATTCATCGTAATCAACAAATAGCATAATGACTTCACATGATTGTTTATCTAATGATGGAATACAAAAGGAAATGATTAACAACTGATTAGACAGAAAGATTACTGACGGTTGATTTCTGTATAGATAAATATGAATATTATGAAATATTTTCATAAATTAAGAAATACCGTCGCGTTAATCTAAAACAATATTTATAATTTCGCAAAGCATGTAATTATTATAAGGTATTGGTGGACTATACCATCAAGACTTTTCACTGAATTTCCTTAGCTATCTTATAAGATTGTACAGTAGAAACACTTTCCCACCTAAAATCAGATACAATAGAGCGAAATAATGAATTGCACTGTACCATGCAGTTGTTTCTAGGGCTCCTCAGTGATTAAAAAAACCAACGTATTGTACTAGGAAACTGAAAAAATCCCAACTGAACCAATACGTAGGATTTGAACGGGAATATTGTGGATTTTGCAATAAGGAACAGTTCGGAAACGTATATGAGGTTTCTCAGTTGTAATTGGCTGATGCCTTTTCCTGTTTTTGGATTTACATTTGTTTTGTTGCTTGAAATTTCTCTTTTTGGACTTTCATTTGTCGCGTGTCCGCTTTGTGTTCTCTGCGTTTGGTTTTATTCATGCTGCTTTTTCAGTTTGCTTTCTGTAATGCTGTGTTGCCTTTTCATCTACTTCATTTTGTCTCTGCTTTTGTTTTATGTATTTCTGTTTTTGCCTCTCGAATTACTTTGTGTCATTCTACGTTGTCATTTCATCTTCGTATGTAACTTAACTTTGACGTTTAGTATATATTCTGTATTTAAGTCTTCATCTTTCTTACTGCTTTTTTGCCATCCTGTGTTGCTTTGTGATCTGCATATCTAACTGCAGTTTGCATCTTCTTGCGCTTTGTACATCATTCCTGAATCTTGGTTTGGTTTGTGTCATCCTGTATCGTTTCATCTACTGATGTAACTCCACTATGTCTTTTTCTTTTGTATTTAGCCCTGTTTTTTCTATTTATTTTTTGTGTCATTATGTACATAGACGTATGTAACTCTAGTTTGTCTCTACCATTTCGTATATTCCTGTTTTTTTTCTCTTGGTTTAGTTTGTGTCATCCTGTGTTATTTCATCTAATGATGTAACTCCACTCTGTCTTTTCTTTTGTATATATCTTGTTTCTTTCTGTTTCTAGCTTTGTGTCATCATGACTATGTAACTCCACTATGCTTCTTCTTTTGTTTTGAGTATTCCCGGGTTTGTCGTTTCGTCTGCTTTATAGCTTTAGAATGTTCGCATTTCGGGTTTTTTCTCTTGTCGGATCTTTTGATATCTTACATTGTCTTCTTTGGTTTTCGTGTATACTACTTTTGGTAACACTGATGTTGGTGCCTCCTTACACATATTTATTCTATAGATGTCGTTAATTTTGCTCTCTTTTTTCCGTCCGTTTGTATGTCTTCTTCTGTCTCAGTTTGTTTGATGTCTCCTCTTACTGCTTTTCTGTTTTTCCAATTGTTTATGTCTTGCTTATGTATTATCTTACTGGGTTTTCTTCAATGTTTCTTTTTCCACAAGTTTTGAGTGTTAATATTAACCTTTATTGTTGCTGATGTGGTATACGCACGTTTCAATTCTGATTAATAGAAAACAATTTGATGTAGCTTAGCAATAAACATTGTGTAATGAGGAGCTGTATTATACGAAGTTTTTTGTATTTAATTTTATATCCTTTATTTTTATCTCCATAGATTTCATTTCATTACATAACATTGATTAAGCGGTTGCAAATGCTTGCATTCCTTTGCATGTACCCACAATGATAGAACGTGAAATAAGACCTATGTTATTAGTAATTATTATAATTCTTTACTGGTTTTCAAACTCAAACTCTGTAATGTAATCAACGCCATTTGATAGACATCACATGCTGGCAATGAATCGTCTCATTGTGTGTGATATCTGACCAGCACCAGAGGGTGCTGTGCGCCTCTACGTCACGCGGCCTTTCTATCAGGTGCCGCCCTCTATCTTCATCTATGCTACCATTCCACAAGGACTTAATTCCTCTTTCACGACATAAGTCTTCGTGCATTGCCAATTTCCTGAGTATTATTGAATATCTAGTGGCAAAAATGAGACTTTAAATGGATAGTAAAATCAATTTGTTTTATTGCAAATACATTATGTAAAACTAAATACAAAATGCTCTCTTATCTCCCTTGATGTTCCCTCTCGAGTGATTGCTAATAACCGTGAAACCGATAGCAGAGATCCCTGGTGGCCGGCGACCCAGCGTCCTTTTCATTCTGCTTGTACGTGGCATATTTAGTTACAGTCACCGTTTTAGCTGAAGGAAACCTGTTATATAAATGGGATTTGTCACATTATCAATCGCAGAATGACGTTTTATAATGTTAATGAACAATAGGCAGGTCCATGGCGAAATCATCAGACGACGCATACAAATCGCCGCCTTTCCTTAGGGAACCCTCGGCTTGCCTTGACTCTCACATGAATTGCTTTTAAAACGATGCTATTGTTTTATGTAGTCTCTACATCAAACCCTATTATTGTCATCGTTCTGTAATAGTTTGATAAGCTAGTGATAAGCTGTCTTTGTCTCAGTTTACCCTCCGTAGCATCTCTGTTCTACTTGGGAATGTCAACAGAAGTATTTGTCCCAAGTCATCTGTCGTCTACTGTTAAGTATCATCAACGAGACAATTAAATCATGATTGGCTACTCCGTAAATAGGCTATATTTTGTGATATATGTGTTTAAGTACTTCATTCTGTTATTTGTGTATGTATGACATTTCAATT